TTTTTTTTATTTAAAATTTTTATTTTAATAATTTTTTACTGTTTCTCTTTTTTGTGTTTCTGAACAAAGGATTTTTCGATTGTTTTTGTTTTTTCTTTTTAAATTCACTTTTCTATTTGATACAATTTTTTTTTGTTTTTTTTTTTGTTTGTTAGAACTTTATTTTTAGTCTTTAAATTCTTATTTTTTCCCAGTTTTTAAATTTAGATTTTTTTTAAGTCTATATATTTATATTTGATTTCACTTTTTTTTTAAATATTTTTTTAAGTTTCGTATAAAATTTCGCACTAATTTAATTGTTTTAATTTTTTTATAGAGTTTTATACAATAATATTTATTGATTAATTTATTTTACATAATTTTCAACGTTGTACAACGACATTTTGTTTTATTTAATTATAACGTCTTTTTTCGCGTAGTTTCTATTTTTATATTTAATTAATGAAAATTGGTATCTAATATTTCTTTTTCTGTAGTGGTTTTTTTTTCTCAATTTTATAATTATTTTTTTCATATATTTAATTTTTTTTTCTTTAAATATACTTTATTATTTTACAATTATTATAATTTATCCTAAAGTTTAATCTATTCGCTCGCCCCACCCCTCACAATTAATGAATGCACGCAGAATGCAAAAATTATTTTAAAATTAAAAATCGTTTTTGTTTTCTTTTTTTTTTGTAATTTTTAATGTAATTAATCGTTTTTATTAAGTAAAACAAAACAAATAAACAAATGAAAATGTTTCAAAAAAGTAATTTTAGAAAGTAAAATTTTGTATATCGTCGAAATTTTTTTTTTTTACTTTGTATATCAATTTATTAAAAAGAAAAATAAATTAATATTTAATTTTAGATATATAAGCTTTATAATAATTGTATTTATATATAATAATATTCATATTAAGTAAAAGTAAAATAAAATTAAAATTTTCAAAATATAAATGTAATTAAAAAGTAAAAAAAAATGTATAATTGTGCAGATTTTTTTCAATAAGAAGCCTTAAATAACAGCAGTTTTTGTTTTTTATTTTAACAATTTTCTATATTATTTTCATTATTTATTTATGTTTATATCAATTTAAGTATTTGTTAAAAATAAGTTTTGTATTGGCTATATGATATTTATATGCATTTATGTATATCAAAGAGTTTTTTTTTTGCTTTTTGTTTTTGTTTTTTTTTTTACTGGATAACATTTCGAGTAATGATATATTTATATAATAATATATATATATATATATATATATATATATATATATATATAAGTATATATATGTATATATATGTATTTGAATATATTTAGTTCTCTTCATTTGACTATTTTTGTTTGTTAAACATTTATGGAGGGTTTCAGTTACAATGTAATGCATTTTGTTTTCATTATATGTAAAATGTTTGCTCTTTTCTCCGCAATATATAATAATATTCTTAAATATGTTTTCAAGTTTGAACATTCATCATTATAAACATGTATTTATGTTAAATTAGAATGTTCACAATTTAGACTATTGATCTTAAAAAATTGTACATGAAGCAATGCATAATTTTTTTTTCATATAATTTTGTGTATATTTAATTTAAAATTATAATGCAAAATTGATTTCATTAAGTTATTAATTAAGTTTTTAGTAAATAAATTTAAAATTTTGATGTTAACCAAAAGTAAAAAAATTATTTTAATTATTTATTTTTTCACATACAATTTTTAGTTTAAAATAAAGAATTTTCAAGAAATAATTAAACTTTAATAAAAAATTATAAATATTTTTTTAAATTATTATACCGTTTACTAAATATATATTTAATTTTTTTTCCATTATAATTTTTATTGATTAAAAGTTAAATTTCAGAATTTTCTTATATGTTTTCTTAAAAATTGATACACTCATGTCGCATTTTAAATATTGGACGGAGCATAAATAATTTTGATTTTTGTTTTATTATTTTACAAAAGGAACGCTCTTTAAATATAGGCACCGAATTTGATAACTGTGTACAAATATTTAATTTAATTTATATTAAAAAAAAATTCAAAACTATCAAATTTTATATTGATAGAAATAATTAAAGAGATCAAAATATTTAAATATAAAAAAGATACAAATTGTATTTTTGGAATATAATTTAAAATAGAGATGTATGTAAATAAATTATTGAAAATTTAAATCATTTTCAAAAAATATGTATGCAATTTTCATAATTAAAATTATGTTATGAAAAATGTGTAAAGGTGAATGAGAGCCTGAAAATTCTGAAATAATTTAATCAATTTTAAATTCTTTTTGTAGACACATGTAAATTGTATGCAACGAATATGCGTATTTTTTTAAATCAGTTTTTTTCCGTCATTGAAATATAACGTAACTCATCCATTAATAAAGGCGGACATGTTTTGCGTGAAATTCCAGAAATCTTTTCATATTTTTCGATTTTAGTTTTTGTGATCGTATTGAAAGCCAATAATATAATTTATTTTTAAGTTTTGCGATTTTTTTTTTTTTAAATACATCTTAACAATTTAAATATTTGTAAATTTGTATTGTCACGTGAGTGATTTTTTTTTACGTTTGCCAATGATATGCCAAAAAAAAACTTTAAAAATTGTGGCAAATAAAAATTGAAATACAAAAATTGTATTAAAAAAGCGTGAAATTTAGTATTTCATATATAAAATATGTATGTATATATTTAATTTGCAGCAAAATAAAATTCGCAAAGAAAATATTAAAAAGCAAAAGAGTGCGTTTGAAAAAACACCAAGTTTATATAATTATAATATAAAATTATAGTTTTATACGAAAACATTAATTTAAAGTTATTAATTTAATTATTATATAATAAAAATATTATTGCTATAATATATGTATATTTATTATAAATTTCTGTATTATTAATTGTAATAATTCAAAATAGTTTTAACTAATGCAATATGTATATATAAGAATTGTCATAAATGTAGATGTGTATATAATAGCTAGTTGCTATACTAGTTACTGTACTAACTAATAAAAGTTTTACATCCACTTTATATCAAATAAATTGAAAAATGAAAAAAACATCATTATTAAATGTTTGAAGAATTGTAACTTGAAATTTTTGAAAAATTTAATGCATAATATGCGAAGTAATGTTTTTTTTTTCAAATACTCATTCAATATATTTTGTGTTATGTTAGTTTAAATATTTTTGTATTTTTTAATTTTATTTTGTTCATATACATATTTATTGTCAATTTCAATGATATTACATGTCAAATATACGAGTATTTGGAATTTATTGAATTACTTTTGCTTTTATAATTAGCCAATTTTTGTTAGTATCTGTAAGATTATCGGTATATTAATAATTATTAGCGATTACTTGTTTAAAAAACAAGTATGATGTATTCATTATACATACATATCATTTTAAATTAGTTATAAATGTATGAATTTAATAATTATTAATAGTAAAATTTGTAAGTTGTTAATAGTAGTAAATTTTGTTTTTTGTAATTAATCTTGAATAATATTGAATATGTATTTATTAGTTGAAAATAAAAATTTATAATTATATTATAATTTTATGATATTCGATGTTGATATTAGATACTAAATAAATTTATTCAATAATTTTTTAGAAATTATAAGTAGTGATAATAATCAAAAAGTATATTGTTATTATAATGTTGTATATTTTGTATTATTATTTACTATTTGGTTATATATAATATTTGCAAAAAAAATAAGGTGCTTTTTCTTCAATTAAACATAAATAGGATAAATTGACATTGAGTTTAAATTTTTTTTCTTTTTTTGATAATATATTGAAATATAGTATTAATTTCAAATAGATTTTAGTTTTGAACAATTTAACATCTTTGAACAATTTTTCCAACATACATATTTTCATACAACTTTCTAAAATGTTAAGCTCGCATTCAAAGTCATGTTTTTTGTTTTTTCAATAGAAGTTTTCTCAATAATTATTTTAATCGAATTTTGAATTTGATTTTTGTTAATTAATTTTTTCTATTTTTGTTTGTAGCTTTTTTAATATTTTATTTATGTTTCATATTGGATGGTTGTTTATTAAAATAATTATTTTGTTTTTTTTTTTTTGTTTTTGTCGAAATATTTTAGGAAAATTTAGATAGTTTTCAACACTTATTCAATGTCAGAGCTTTCTTATTTCTTTTATATTAAAATTTATTCAATATTTACTTAAGTTTTTATGTTTGAATTAAAGATATTTTTGTTTTGTTTCACAATATTGAAATAGTTTTTCGTTTCGATTTTCAAGAAATCAAATTTAGACCACAATATAATTACTTATTTTTTTTTTTCAGATATTTTCTTTGTTATTTTTTATTTTCTGAATAGTTTTTTTTTTTACGCCTCAGATATTATTTAGTCTATTTACACTTCACATACATTTGTAAACTCTTGGGAAAAAATGTTTTAATTATTCTGAATTAAATAAATTAATTTTGTTTTTTTATATTTTAAAAAAATTTTAACTTTTCAAAATTTTATCTGTTTCCTTTTCAAAAATTTCAAAATAAATTTTATAATGTCTGCTTTTATAATATTTCAATGCAAAGTTTATACATATGCTATATTTTTTTTTCCTTTCATTTGTAACTTGCTGATAATAGTTAAAAAATCCCTTTTAAAAGTATTAATTTTGATTGATTAGTAATTTTATTTTATGGTTTACTTTTCTTTTAATTTTTATTTTAGTATTTGGTATGTTTTTAATTTTATTTAATTTTTTTTTATATGGTTGTATGGTTTGTGCACCCCAACTCCAAGATTTTCTGGTATTGTTATAAATATTTAAATTAAAATTTAAAAAAAAAATCATCGCCATTATTGGATAGTTAATTCGATTTAATTTTAGTAGTTGTTAATATATTTTTTTGAATTTCAATGTTCTTGCAGTTATTTTGTAATTTTTTGTGTAAATAATGATTTTAATTGCCTTTGATTGTTTAGCTTTTTACTTACATATTTCCTTTTAGTTAAAATATTAATTTTAGTATTGAATAACCCGTTTTTTTTTTGTTTTTTTACTTCCGTCTTTACGTCACTGTTGTTAGCTATGACTTGATTTTATTTTTTTAAAAACATTACGCTAAATTCATTTTTTAGACTAAATTTATTCTTATAAGTTATAATTTTTTTTATTTAATTTCAACATTATTATTTTGTTATTTTTAATTACTATTTTTTTTTATATGGCAGTCGGCTTCCATTGTATTTTCAATGTTATAAAATTTTTTAATTTAACATAATTATTATATTTGTTTATAATTTTGTATATTCATTTTTTTATACATATTTTTTTACATTTAGAAAGAATATTTAATAGTAGGTATTTGTCATTTGTCGCAAAATTTTTTAGGGATATTCTCTGGTAAGATAATAATAATATTTTTTTTTGATTGATTTGGAAATTTTAGGTAAACTGATTTTGAAGTTTGAGAATAAATTTTATAAACTGAAAGCGTGGAATGTTACATAATATGTATGTTTAATGATAAATATATTAATAATAAAGCAATTATTGTATTAATCAACTATATGTATAAAGCATTTAAATTTGGAATTGAGTTTACTAATATACGTCACGTATATACTTATACGTTTATATATATATGAGTTACTAGACCATGGGAGAATACTTGTAAAATTTTTTAATAATATAAATATTTTAAAACTTTTAGAAAATATATTTAAATCTTAACTACACATGAGCGAAAATTAGTGTAATATGGGGTGTCTTTTTCGAATATCCCTAATGGTAATAGTTTGCATTTTGTTAGATTATACTTCTTTCTAAATATCTATTTTATTTTTATTATGTTTGTTTTTTTATATAAAACTTAATATAATTATTAATATTATAAATCAAGATTTTTTTTATTATCTGCACCAATTAAAGATTAACTTTAATTTGAAAAAGAAAACAAAACGAAAAAAAAAATACTTTCCTGAAATGTATATTTTTGAACCATTTCATGTATTTTAATTAAATTAAATGAAAAAAAAAAACGAAAACTAAAAATATACATTTTTTGTTGAAATTATTTTAGATTAGTTATCTAACATTCTTTTTTTACAATTATTTCATACTTATTTTTCTTATTGACGATTTGAATTTTGTTTTTTCTTTTGAATTTTTAATAACTAAGAAATATTTTTATATAAATTTCTTCTTCCTTTAAATAAATTGAAATTATTTCAAAATTTAAATTAAAGAAACAAGATTTACTTTAACTTAAAAGACTATGAAAAAAAAAATTAAAAAATTAGATTAATTCTGTCGTGCTTCTTGGAGAGGGGGGCGAGGCCTGGCTCAGACATCCGCTGTTTTAGATGTTATACTGGGTGATCTTGAGTGTATTACAACCTTATGACCGTTTTTAGTGATGTAACCATCACTTTCAACTAAAACTGCTGTCTGACGGCCTTGTTGGTCACCACTACCCCCACTACCTGGACTAAGAGGACCGTCAGTTGTTTCTTTATGTTGTAATTCTGATGGACTATTTACACCAGCGCTACCTACATTACTATTACTTTTTGATGGTATACTTCCACCGTTTTTACCATCACGTCCTGTATTATTTTCATCATCATCGTCATCATCGTCATCCTCGCCCCCGCCATCAGTATAATCTGTATCACCTTCATGGCCATCATCTTTATGTAATTTGTGCTTCCGCCATGCGTTTTGTATTAAACGCGCACAATATTCTTCTCTTTGTCGCCATAAAGTAGATGATACAGGTTCATACCCAGCTTCTTCGGGTCTAGCCGCAATTTCACCAATTTCGCCGGTTTCTTCAATTGGATTACCTTTACGAGCGAAAAAATCTTTCGTTAAGGCATCCAATATATCAACACAAAACATAAGATCACCGCGACATATTGGTATATCCATTGATATAATTTTATATTTATTTGGTTTATGGATTTGTAATGGCGGTTCGAGTACGTCTAAAAATTCTGATAATTGATCGTAGCGAATATATTGTGTTCCATCTGGATCAAATTGCTGCCATATTTCATAGTACATGTCATAATCATCATCGGTTAAACCTTCTTGAACATCTTCAGTAGCCTGGCTGTAATTTTCGAGAATAACAGCAATGTACATGTTAATCACAATTAAGAAGCTTATAACTAAATATGATAGTAAATAAGTGATTCCAACTGTTGCTGAACCACAATTTCCAGTTTCACCCAAATCTGGATTTGGTTTAACACAATCTTCTTCATTAATTATAGCATCTAGAACACCGTCCCAACCAGCTGACGTTGACATCTGATCAGTTTTAGAATTTTCCAATATTTTTCATTATCAAAAAAAATGAAAAAAAAAAATACATGCAAAAAATTTAAATATTAGATTTAAGTTATCTTACCTTGGATCAAATGCAACTATTTAAAAATTTCTTAACCATAAAGTAAATTGAACAACTTCATTGTAAATTTTTATTAATTTCATTAAATTAAATGGTTTTTATAATTTTTAAATTGTTGCATATATGTTTAAAGTTTCTTTTTCACTTATTAATACCTTATGATAACTAATAAAGCTTAAATTCGAATTTAATAAATTACCTGGAACAGGATTATCATACTCTGTCCAAACGTTTCGAAATTATAAACATCATCTATACCACTTTTTCGTTTTACATGCATAAAAAATGACATCCCAAATATTGCAAAGATGAACATTACAAGAAATAGCAATAGGCAAATATTAAATAAGGCTGGTAGGGACATGGCCAGGGCAAAAAGTAATGTTCGAATACCTTTCGCACCTTTGACCAAACGTAGAACACGACCTACTTTAGCTACACGAACAACACGAAGTAATGTTGGTGATACAAAATATTTTTCGATAATGTCGCTAAGAACAAGACCTGTTGAATAGAATGTGATGTGTGTGTTTTTTTTTTTTAAGAGAGTGAAAGAAAAATAATAAGGTGGAATAGATATAGGAATTGGCGAAGGATATTTGTATTTTTTGTTTTTATTAAAGGAATTATTTTCGTGCATTATGATGGAATTATTATTGAATTAATGAAAAAAAGAAACAAATTTAATTAAAAAAATAAAGAAACGATATGAAAAAAGTCATGAAAGAAAAAATGAAATGGAAAATTTATTTTATTAATTTAATGATTTTATATACTTTTTAATGTAAGTAAGTACAACACCCATTTTGTTTTTAATCAAAAAACTTTTTTTCTTGTTTGTTTTTATGTATAAATAAAATTTAAAGCTTAGTTTAAAACTGAAACTTAAAATTTTAAGAAGCATGTAAAAATTAAATTGATTAAAAGTATAAGTACTAAATTCAATTAAAATCTTTATTAAAAATTATTTAATAAAGTGAAAAATCAAATGCAACAAAAATCTTAAATGAAAATTAAAATGTTATAAAAATGTGATTTAAATTTAACAAAACGTTCAGTATTTTGAATAAAAATTTTTTAATTAAAATCTTTTATTTAATTTTTAATAATTCAGAAGATTTTTTACTTTAACCGAATTAATCTAGGTCTAATTTCATTAACGTAATATTTTTATTATAACATTTCATACTTAGGATTTGATTTTAGAGGAAAATTTTCGGTTTTTTTTTATTAATATAAAATTTATAATTATAAATCTATTATTCGGACATAGATTTGAAGCGAATATAATTCCTCGGTAAATGATTTGAACAATTTAATATGGAAGCTTAATTTTTTAAAATTTACATTAATTCGAATTGTAATATTTAAATTTTAAACTGCCTACTTTTGTTTAATTTCAATTATAACAAGAATTTAAATAATAAGTGTTTATTTAATTTTTCCGTTAATATATTTTGTTAAATTCAAATACAAATATATAGAAAAAAATTATATAAAATTAAATATAATTTTAAAAAAATAAAATTAAATTAATTGAAAAATAAAAACACAGCAATGTTAAACTTATAATTTAATAATTTGTTTAAATTATTTTTGATTTCAAATTTTTTGTGTTTTTTTTTTTTTTTTTTTTTTTTTTTGTAATGTAGTTGTACTGACCTAGGATGGATAATACGACGACTACAACATCAAATAAATTCCATGGCTCAACAAAATAATGATATCGTAATGCGAATATTTTGAGTAGACATTCTGCACTGAATATAACAACGAATATCATGTTCAGATAGTCTAATACTTTATTATAATAGTCCGGTGCATTATATTTATCGAGTGTCATTGTAAACATATTTAAGCCAATAAATAACATTATAACAATATCGAATTTTTTATCTGTTACTATTTCAAATACTATTGCTTGTGGTCGCCACTGGAGAAATGAAATTTTCGAAAAACGAAGTGTTTTTGTATTTTCGAAAAAAAAGAGTAAAATATGAAAAAAGAAATATTCTTAGTTAGATTTAATGTTTGATATTGAATTTGGCTAAATTAATTTACATTTATAATAATTTTTTTTTTTTAAACAATTAACAAATTAGACAACAATTAATATTAAGACACAAATAATATTAAACATTTACTGATTTAAATTAAATAATTCAATATTTAGTAAGTAAGTACATTTAGCGAATTAATAGCAATAAAGAACTTAAAAATAAATTAAAAAAATTTTGTTTTTTTGAAATTGTATACAGTACTATGTTCGATAGGCTTTATTATTTTTGTTTTGTAAAATATATATATATTTTGTAGCTATAAAATTATAAAAAATTGCGTGATAGCGTAAAACATTTTTGTATAACGATTAAATTTGAACTCTTTTTTTGCATTTTATAAATTAATTATATAGCATTTAACATCTATAACTTATATACCATTTTTAAGATTGGCCAATTAGAAAATGTCTTTTGAATCAATAGTTGTTAACTTTTGCATTGATTCTTTAATGAATTTTTATATATATAATATATATATATATATATATATTTGATATGAATCATGTATATATAGACGATTCAAAAATGTTGTGTTATATTTTCTTATATAAGAAAATATGAGTTAGTGTATTTTTGTATGTATTTTTAGAGTTGGTATGTTAAATTTAAAATTGAAATTAAATAATAAATACTAAGTTCAGTGCATATTTTTTTGTTTCCATTTATTATTGTGTATACATTAAAACAAATTAATAATTTTATTGCCAATTGTTACATAAATTTTACAACAAAAACACAAAAAAAAAAAAAGGACACAAATTATAAATTACTATAAAATTGTGTGACTAAACTACAGAAATTAATTAAAATCTAATTAGTTTTTTAACTAATTAATAAATTTTTTTATGTTGTTTTTTTTGTAGTTATCATATATAATTTGAAAATGAGAATTTAATGGAAGATTTTGAATAAAAAATTTTTAGACATTTTGTAAATAGCTAATCAGTATAATGGTCTAAAAGTTTTAAAAAGAGCTTTTATAGCATTGTAATAATATTTATGTATGTAATTTACGAAGCATTTACGACATTGTAAAATAAAATCTTTAGCTGCAGATTATTTTATTAATTTAAGACATTGGTTTTTAATCATTATATTTAAATTTAACGAAGCTGCATTAAAAATTGTTAATTAAAAAATTCGCAGAAGTGCTTTAATTTCCTTAATTATATTTCTAATTAATATTTAGAATATTTTAAAGCACTTTATTATTAAATGTGATTGAATTTTAATTGAAAACTTTTTTTAGAATTTTTATTTTTAATTAATATTTTGTAGTAAAAGCAGTATGGTTTTGTTTTTATTTTAAAATTGAATATTATTTGAAAGAAAGCATTTTATTTTAACTTTGTTATTTTAAGTAATCAAAAATAAAACGTTTGATTTTTTTTATATATAAGCTGGTATTTATCAATTTTATTTTCTTTTAAAAATAATTTTATATATTTTCCTTTACTTTTCTTATATATATATATATGTATTTAAGAAAAGAATGCAAGCAATTTACTCATATATTTTCATTTAACAATTTTAGCTTTAACATAAAAAAATTGAACTAAAGGATTAACAACAACATAAATATGGTATGTAGTATACTGAATTTGAATATTATAAAAGGGAATAATTATTTCAAGAATGTTGGAGGACTACCTAAATAATGTTGACGCTGTGGTTAAATGGTAACACCTACATACACTTATAAAATATCACTTTTAACTTTTTATTTTTTTTTTTTGTTGTAGGGAACAAATAATTTAACATTATATGTTTGTAACATGGATAGAACATTTAAAGCGTTGTAACATAATAATAACAGTATGTATGTAATTCATTAATAATAATAACAATAACATGTACATGTATTGAACTTAATAATAATAACAGTTTATATTTTAATTAATAATAAGAAATTTTCACTAAGAATGATTTAAGGCTTTATGAACTTAAAAATTTATTTTATACTTTAATAAATTAATATAAACTTTATTAAATATTTTTTAAAATTATAAATAAGCATGTAAATATTTTCTTATTTTATATTTTGAATAATTAAGCATTTGTAATTTTGTACAAATAATTTCTGTATAATTTCTTTTTACTTTCATTTAGATTGATAAATTTTGTTTTTGCATTTTTTACTCAAAATTGTAATAGTAGTGAGGTAGATTTGTAATAAAGAATTCTTATTGAGCCTTGATGTTTTATATTTACTTGATAAAAAGATATGTACTTATATTTTAAATTAAGACATGCATACGAAAATTAATATTACAAAAACTATTCTTAATTTATTGTAATTGAAAATGAATATAATATTTAGTTTTTTTTAAGAAGATTTGTGTATGCCATGTTGTAGAATCAGTAAGATTATATTTGAAATATTTGAAACTGAGGCCATAAATCTTTGAAACTAATATCGTATGCCAATTTTGTTTGAAAATTTTAAGTTTTTTTTATTTCAAATAGCCTATACATGAAAATCAAAAACTTTTCATTTAAATTAAATAAAGGCTCAATTTTATTTTATACATAAATACTAATTGAAAATATACAGAGATTATTTGCTTTTGTCTTATAAAGAAATTCGAATTAAGTTTTTTAAAATTATTAATTTTTATTAATATTGTTTTTAATAAATTTAACTCAATTCAAATTTAAATTAAAACCAATTTACTTCCATTGAAGAAATATTATCTTTCATAATTTGATTATAAATTTAGAATGGACAATTTTTTTTTAAATGCATATAATTTTAGAAAAATGAAATATACTTTTTAAAAAGCTTTAAATTTTTGTTATATATAGAATTAAACTGCTTGAACATTACTAAAACAACTTGAACAATTTACGATATAAACGAGCTCTCAAGTAGTATAAAAATATGTTAATGTCAATTCTTAAAACAATTCACTTGCACCTCCTTCAAAAGACAAAATATTGTTACATATATATAATATATGCATTACATAATAATGTATTAATAATTTGTTCAGTAGTAAGAGCTCATGAAGTTAGAATACCAGTTTTAGAAGAATATAAAATAAGAAATTGAAACATTTTTCCACCTTCAAATCAGAAATATGATAGTTTCCTTTTAAAATAATGCAAAAAAAGTTTATTAACTTTAATAATATTTAACAAAGAAAAAATCAAACATTTCTTTAAAATTCATCTGTAAAATTATTGAATATTTTTAGACTTCTTTTAAATCCTGCATGTACTAAAGTATATAGCAAAGCTGAATTTGTTAGTTTCTTTTATTGATGGTGGACTTTGATATAGTTCAAATTTTTAGCAAATTTTTGAATACAATTATGATTTTTAATACGAAGCAAATCCTTCAATTATGTTAAGTTTATAAGTAAATGCTAAAGAAAGAATAAATTTTTTTTAAAAAATTAGCATGAAAATCAATAGTTATCAAATTAATAGAGTAATTAGAAATAATCTTACAAAATTTAAAGCAAAACTAATTTTGGGTAAGAGTAAATTGGTTTTAATATTATTTTAGCAAATTGTATTATTTATATATATTAATATAAAATTTTGATGAAGTTAAATTTTAAGTCAACATAAAAAATTAATTATATATTTTTGGAAACTTAATTTAAACAAAGCGTCAAAGGGTTTTAGCTTGAATATTATAATTAAAGCATTTTAAATAATAATAAAATGAGTTTAATAAAGGGATTTTTTTATATCTAACTTTTTAAATTGATTAAAATAATTTGAGAAAAGCTTTATTGAATAAATTTCAATAATATTAGGTATAGTTTAAGGATTTTAATTGTTTTCTATAGGGTTTATTTACTTTACCTGATAAAATTCACTTTTAATTTATTAGAATTGTGACATTTTTTTTAATTTAATTTTTGTATGTTTGATGTATTAATGTTTTTAGTGACTTGTATATAATATATTGAAGTATATTGAAAATATAATTTTAAAATTATTAAATAATTTAAAAAGCTTTATGTTGAGGTAACGAAAACATAATATTCATGCAAGTTTTATTTTCGAATATATTGAATTTAATGGTAAGACGAAAGTTATTTTGAGAAAAATGTCATAATTAATCATAAGTTCATCACATAATTAATTTCTTTTCTAGTAATAAATCAATTAGTATTAGAAATAATATTAGTAAGTTAAAGTGAATTTAATGTTGGTGTCGAAACTACCGGAAACTATATTACGACATAATTTAGTAACCTAGTAAACAAATTAATTCAATTTTTTTTTTATATTTGCCAGTGTAGTTTTATCAAGTTTATTTTAAAATTGAAGCATTTCTTTATACAAACGAAATTTAAAATTACTTGCATATTATTAAATTTCTAGTAGTTTATTAAATAGGATCAATTTTTATTATTCCAATATAAAATTTAATTTTTATCTTAAAAAAAACTTCAATATATTACTATGATTTAAATTTCAAAATTACTTACAAATTTTGTAGAATACTTTATGATAGTTTTGTATCTGATAATATGTATTTGATTTTTCACCTTCAAATTAACTTAATATGAAAAATGATATTATATGATATTGATTTTAAAAGAATTTTTTTATAAAGATTTTGTATATTTTGATATTATTGTAAATAAGCAATATAGTTATTTTGTTAAATTAAAAGTGAACACACTTGTTATCGCATATTTAATTGATGTAAGCCACATTAGAGACAATAATTTTTTGTATTAGAAACGTAAAAATTTTTATTCGAAAAGAAAGTTGTTTTCATAAAGTTTTGAACATTTTCCAAATAACATTTTCTGTGACATTTTAAGTAAATTGCTTTTTCATATAAACATATTTTTTTTGTTGTATAAAATCAATTTTTATGTATACTCGTAGAATACTTAAAAACGAA